AAGAGAAGAGATCAAACAAACCGTTCGTATTTTGTTTATTTTTTTTAATAATAGCGCATATTTAGGTGTATTTAGGAGAGGACTATTTTGGTTGATTAAACTGTTTCCACTTTTGCGGTTCCTACTTTTATAATGAATAAATAGATTAGGTAATGCCTGTTACCGCCAGTTAACTTAACTAATTACTCCACGTAGATAAACAATTATCCAAATTGCTTAAAAATACTTACTCACTTTTTAATTACATTATATCAACTATGTTATCTATATTCACTATGATATAATTTTACTATCAAATGGTCATGGTGGTACCCATAAAATACATATACCATCCTTATTATTCATTAAAACACCTCCATACATCCATATATATATATATATATATATATATATAACGGTATCAAGGTTGTTAAACTTACGGGGTGTAACAATTGTTAATATATCTAGCAGTCTCGGAAGTAGCGATAAGTGCCGTTTTATTCCGAGAAAAAGAAGGTACGCAATTTCCTGTCTACTATGTTAGTAAAATACTGTTAGGAGCGGAGACTCGCTATCCACACCTCGAAAAACTAGCCTTAGCTCTCATAGTCGCCTCTCAAAAGCTTAGGTCTTATTTTTAATGCTACCCGATAACCGTTGTGACAACCTTTCCCTTGAGGAATGTTCTCCACAAACCTGAGTTGTCAGGCCATTTGGCTAAATGGGAAGTCGAAATTAGAGAGTTTGACATTGAATATAACCCTAGATTGCGATCAAGTCATAAGTAGGGGTGTTCATGGTTCGGTTTGGATCGGTTCTTCCCTAAAAAGAAACCAAACCAAGTAAGTCGGTTTTTTGAATATTAGAACCAAACCAAACCAATTAAGTCGGTCTTTTCCTCAATTCGGTTTATGTCGGTTTTTCGGTTTTTACGGTTTTTTGTCGGTTTTTTCTTAAATATAAGACATACACTACAAAACACATATTCCGGCGACCATATTTTCAACGTAACACTATCAAATCAATTGCCCTTTGATAAATCTATTATTTACTAAAATATATTAATGATAATTGAATCAAATAGTGATGAATAATTTAAGGACTCAATTAAAAATATATTGTTTTAACATGAAATGGATTCTTACACTTACCAAAAGAAAACTACCAATCAAAGTAGAATATAAAGGAAAAAGCTTGTACTAAAAGTGCAAACGATTAACATTCACCATATATTTTTTGAAACTTTGCATAAAAATATACATATATATAGGTGTAATAATAAATTTGAAATAACTACTCCTATAGTCGGTTTGGTTCGGTTTTTCCGGTTATTTTTTGATTAAAACCAAAACCAAACCAAATTTGATCGGTCTTTAAAATTCAAAACCAAAACCAAACCAAACCAAAAAGTATCGGTTTTTTTGGTCGGTTTGGTTTGATTTTCGGTTTGGTTCGATTTTTCGGGTTTTTATGAACACCCCAAGTCATAAGGTTTGGCCGACTTCAGTCCTGGTTAATGTCCCTAGCTGCTAAAGAATCAGTATTGGTGTTGGAAACGACGTTAGGAGTTTGTACCTTGTTTAAGGATGGAGCTTCAAATTTAAAAGGGTTCGGGCTCGGAGTAACCCTAGTCACGCCCTTGGGAGAAACCCTGAGGTAGGCTATTAAGACTGTTCCGTTAACTAGCAATGAAGCCGAGAATGAGGCTTTGATTACAAGACTTGAATTGGCCCGGGGACTTGGCTCCGAGGTTGTCGAGATCAAATGTGACTCCCAACTTGCAGTGAACCAAGTGTACGGGATTTTTGATACAAAAGAGGAATGCATGCAACAATATGTGAACAAAGTTTAGGCATTGCTTGCGCGATTCAGGGAATGGTCGATCACACACATTCCGAGAGAAGAGAACATGGAAGCAGATACACTGGCTAATTTAGGGTCGTCTACGGAAATGAAAGGATTTGACTACAGTATCTTCATTCAACTTCTACATTCGGTATTGGATGTGGATGGTTATTCTGAAGTCAATTCAACCAACTTATTCTGGGACTGGAGGAACGAGTTCATCGAATATCTTCGACATGGAAAATTACTCAAATACCCGAAGGCATCCCGAGCAGTACGCACTGAAGCGGCTCGTTATTGCCTCATGGATGGGCAATTATATAGGAGATCGTACCAGGTCCCGTTGGCCCGATGCCTGGGAGCCTCGGAGGTAAACTAAGTGATGAGAGAAGTCCATGAAGGAATTTGTAGGAACCATTCAGGTGCAGATTCATTGGTACTAAAGCTGGTTAGGCCAAGATACTATAGGCCCCGGATGGAACGGGACGCAAAGACATTCGTTCATAAATGCGACAAATGTCAGCGCTATGCGCAGTTGGTACACCAACCAATGGAAATCTTGCATTCGGTGCTGTCTCCGTGGCCATTCATGAAATGGGGGATGTATATAGGTGGCCCACTGACACTGGGTCCCGAAAATGTAAGATTCATTTTAATTTTAACCGATTACTTTACTAAATAGGTTGAAGCAGGTCCTTACCCAAAGATCAGTGAACGCGAAGTTGTCGACTTTCTATGGGACCGCATAATCTGCCGGTTCGGAATACCGAAGGAGATTGCTTGCGACAATGGACCACAGTTCATAGGCTCGAAAGTCACAAAATTTTTGGAAGATTTAAAAATAAAGAGGATTACATCTTCACCGTACCATCTATGCGCTAATGGACAGGTGGAATCAACCAATAAGACAATTATCCAACACCTCAAAAAGAGGTTAGAAGCTGCTAAAGGCAAGTGGCTTGATGAGTTACCGGAAGTGCAATGGGCGTACCGGAAGAAGGAAAAATCGAGCACAGGGGAGACACCTTTCTCTCTCGTATATGACGCAGAAGCTCTGATACCAGTGGAAGTAGGGGAGACAACTTTAAGATTTTCCCGAGAAAATAAAGAAGCAAACAATAAGGTGTTGCTGATGAAGATGGATTTGCTCGATGAACGCAGGGACTTGGCATACGTGAGGATGGTGGCTCAAAAGCAAAGGATGGAAAGATATTATGATCGAATGGCCAATCTCCGCTATTTCAAAGTAAGAGACTTGGCTTTGAGAAATGTGACTCAAAGCACTCGGGAAATCAATGTTGGGAAGGAGGGTCCAAAATAGGAAGGTCCCTACCGGGTTTTAGCTATCACCGGTAAAGGATCATATGAATTGGAAAATAAATATAAAGTCAAATTGCCCAGCAATTGAAACGTGACTCACCTTAAGAGGTATTACTGCTGATGGATCCTATCAATACTGAAAGTATGTGCCTGCACTCTTTTTCCCTTCGACCAGTTTTTGTCCGAATCGAGTTTTTTTGGTAAGGTTTTTAACGAGGAATCAACGAAAAGCATACTACCAAAGGAGCGTCATCGGCAAGGTTAAGAACTTTAATGACAATGCATTGGAATGATAAACCGCTATGGGAGTTAAATAATCTTTGGCTCGATGACAAGTTCCTAATGGGAAGCAAAACTTGCCATCGAGCCAAAGACTATTTAATCGTTCACGAGTTGTTCACACCGGTGAAGCAAGACTTCCAGTATTCCAATTTGCATACTTTGCATTCGAACACTAGGGGGAGATAGTATAAGATACGACAACTAGAATGCCATAAAAATTGGGGTCTACGAGAACCGGGAATAATAATGTCTTATCGGGACCGCGAACTGCATGACCAGCCCCTAAGTTGTTACAAGTTAGTCATATATATTGGGAGGTGTTTTATCTTTTAGCAAATGAATTCTTATGTACTTTTAAAGATGAAAGGAATAAAATAAAATCTTTTTATTTTGTCTTGTTTCTTGTCCAAACGACGAGTTGATTTTATCATTAAGAAATTAAGGGCAAAACATGAAATTTTTTCAGACATACTACTAAGATTTGACAAGGCAAATTTTAGTCAATGTGAAATTGGACCGGATAAATTTGACATTTTGCCCGTCTAATGGGCTTAAAGGCATAGGACGGTAAGTGCACACAGGGATGTACAGAGGTCGGGTTGGTTCGGATTTTTCAATTATCAAACCAAACCAATGGTGTCGGATTTTTAAATGTATAAACCAAACCAAACCAACAAAGTCGGGTTTTTCAATCTCGGTCTAAGCCCCACAGTGGGGGCCAAACCGTTTACCCGTAAAACGGTACAGTTAAATTTGTTACGTGGTTTATAGACAAGCAAACTGATTTGATCCAATAATGATAAAAAAATAAGATTAAAAGTAAGACTTATGTATTGAAATTGAAGAAGATGACAAATCTGGCTCCGTGCACAATGTCTCCGAGGGCAGAAATGAGAGTAATATGAAAAAGCAAATAAAGTTGTTTAGTTGAGAATGAAAATGAAGTATAGAATGTGCTTTTCCAAAAATTGCGTACCTTACAATGGCTGCTAAGCCAGTTATTTATAGCTATCCCTAGGGAAATAAGATCCTAGGTTCAAGCCCCACTTAAATGATAATAAAGGAGCCATTGATGAATATGTAATGGCAGTCAATGAATGCAAATATTCTCTGCAACGGATGCCCATTTAATGTTAGGAAATATTCTTTATTGAAAGTTATCCAATGACAAACGTTCGATCTGCTCCTGATGACCATGCTCCCTTCGATCAATTAGAATAGAACATGGTCAATGGCGTAGCCACACAATGAAGGGTGGTCTGTTGAACACCCTTCATCAAAAAATTATACTATATACATAAAAAATTATCCCGGGTATAAAAATAAAAAAAACATGTGTATTAAATTTTGAACGCGAAATTTTGGATTTCGCCACTGCACCATAGGTATATAACAATCATATGATATGAACAACCCTTAATCCTATTAATTGTGAGGTAAGGAAGGACTTTAAACTCTATGTTGATATGTATGCAGTAGATAAAGGATGCACCTCTGTTATGCCGAAGAACAAAGAGGTTTGCATCAACGAATGACAAAGAAAAGTGTTTTTGTTAAGGTTCCACATTATATATCTGATTAAAGCCTATAGATTCACCTCTATATATGGAGGTCTCACATTATACATGTAGAGGCACGCACATATACAGTATTAGTATAATCTCACGTAGTATCATCTCTGTAGAAGCAAAGGAGTTATTTTAGACCCAAATCAATGGCAAAAAGATATAAATTTGTATAGTTATCTTCACCAAAGAACTCTATGGCTCTATAAAGGAGGACAATCATTTTTTATATGTATACTGATCATCAAGGCTTTGTTCTCATTTTTAAAAGTCAACTAATAGTTTCTCTGTTCTTATTTAAAAAGGCAGCCACAATTGATAATAGTATAAGAAAAAGGAACATGCAGTTAGAAACTATTCTGAACATTAAAAACTACTATGATTTATATGAAGGATTACAATTCTTTCAGTTGAGTAAATCATGCCAGAGAATTGTAATGAAAGTACGAAAGAATGTATATAGGCAAGGTGTTTTAAGGAAGTAATCTTTGGTATAGTATTTCCTCATGCAGTAGAAATGGTTTTAAAACATCTCTCCCTAGGATAGAATACACATTTTAGTTTATTCACGACAAAAACTCAAAGCAAATAGTAGAAAGTGAATGGAAGAATTGATAAAGTGATTTGAGAAGAATGACAAATTGGCAAAGTTGGCATAAAAAATCTAATAATTGCATTATTTTTCCTCTTCACCTTGACAATAGAGGCAAACATTTTGTCACGACCCAAAACCAACCCGGTCGTGATGGCGCCTATCATGGAACTAGGCCAGCCGACACTTTCCGAAAATGATTCGATATTTCATCAAAAATTAGATAACAACATTTTTCATACTGAAATTTCCGTAAAAAAGATAAATTCAAAAACCAAAATGCGGAAATAAAAGCCCGACCTCGGGTGTCACTAAGTCATGAGCAAATACTACAACTTTTCTAAAATATAACAAGACTAACATAGTCTGAGAGTAGCTAAAGTATACTAAAAGGAAGATAAAGAAGGAGAAAGGCGGGACTGCGATCGCCAAGCAGCTACCTCGCTATCTCCGATGAAAGACCGCGACTGGAATAGTCAATAGCCGCTGTCGTGCCCTAAGATACCTGGATCTGCATACAAGGTGCAGTGGGTAATGTGAGTACACCAACTCAGTAAGTAACAAGTCCAAACTATGGACTGATAGGTAGTGACGAATGTAACCTCAACATGTAATTGAAATAAACTAAGCAGGAAAAATAGGCATGCTATCAATTAAAGAATACAACTCAAGCAGTAAGATAAATACAGATCTGAACAATGTGTGATATAAAGCTCAGCTAACTCTATATGCCAATGCGCATAATGTATGAAATGCACCATGTTCTCCCTCTCTCAAGTGCTCAACCGCTCGAAACTACATATGGCCATCTGGCCCAAGGAAATCCATCCCGGAACATATACAACACTGACTCCAAGTCAACCAGTACCGAGGGACAAGGGTAATCCAACCTTGAGGAGAAATCCATCTCCAAGTATGTATGTGTGTATATATATATATATATATATATATATATATATATATATACACACACTCAACGACTCGTTACCGCATATGGCCATCCGGCCCAGGAAAATCCATCCCGGAACATACTCATCACTGACTATAAGTCACTCGGTATCGAGGAAAAGGGTAATCCAACCCTGGGGAGAAATCCATCTACAGATATCAATACTTCGGACAAATCCATGTCCAGGGAAATCCATCCCTCAAATATCATCTGCGCTCACTAGGGGTGTGTTACAGACTCCAGCTCCTACAGCCCAAGCGCTATCATAATCAACATAATCGCTGCAACGTGCAGCCCGATCCCATATCTGTCACTCATAACCAAGCTCTCGGCCTCACTCAGTCATCACTCTCCAGTCTCACACACACGGGCTCACAATGCCATGAAACTAGCCGAAACAATGTTATGATGTGCCAAATAATAACCACTGAGACTGAGACATGATATGATATGCATGAATAAGACTGAGTACAGAATATCGATGAATCAAATAAAACAACAACAAAAAACGACCACTCGGATCTCAACAGTATCGGCGTGAAGCCCTAACATGATATCTAGCATGTTTTACAACACATTTACTTAATCACATGATAGAAACACGGATATCAACAAGAAAGAATCATTAAGCGGTGCCATGGAATGAACCAGGCCACAGTTCTCGCGGAGCACGCCCGCACGCCCGTCACTTGGCATTTGCGTCACCTTAGTACTAATCACATAACACATAGTTCGAGGTTTCGAACCCTCAGAACCAAGTTTGGAAGCGTTACTTACCTCAAACCAAGCCAAATCCTACTCCGCTACGCCTTTGCCTCTGGAATTGGCCTCCAAACGTCCCGAATCTAACCAAAAGCAATACAATGCAATCAATATAGGCCAAGGAATCAATTCCACACGAAAAACTATCAATTTAGACCAAAATCCCGAAATTCACCCAAACTCGGCCCCCGGTCCCACGTGTCGGAATCCGACAAAAATCATAAAACTAGAAAGCCCCTTCACTCATGAGTCCATACATACAAGATTTATCAAAATCCGACTCCATTTGACCCCTCAATTCCTCAATCAAAACTCTCCAAAATCCCAAGCCCTAACCCCTCATTTTCACCCTTAATCACCACTAATTACATGATAAAACCACAGGAAATTACCATAAACACGAGTATTAGGGCTCAAATTACTCACCTCAATGAAAAACCCCTTGAATGCCTCTTCAAGTTGCTCCCATAAGCTCCAAATTCGGATAAAAATAGTGGAAGATAACCTAAAATTTGCGAAGCCTCCCTTTTATACATTCTGCCCAGCACTTCTGCATCTGCGGTCCTCTTTCCGCATCTGCGGGACCGCATCTGCGCAAACTTCTCCGCTTCTGCAGAATTTTATTGAAAGGCCATTTCCGCTTCTGCGGTTGCTTGACCGCATCTGCGGTCATCGCAGATGCGGGGACCAAGCCGCGCCTGCGACCCCAGCTGCACACATGCGCCTCATAACCGCTTCTGCGGACCTTGCACCTGCGGTTCCCACTCCGCAAGTGTGGTTAAGACAGAATCAGCAGCTTCAGCTGCATAACCAAATTTCCAAACTCTCCGATAACCATCCAAAATCATCCC